AAGAGAGAGAGAGAGAGAGAGAGAGAGAAAGATCTTAATTTTAAATACACGACATTGCCTCTTGACGCTCACGCGAGAGCCTTGTGTACACAAGATATTTACTTAGGAAAATCTTTCAGATATCCTCTCTTGACGTGTCCATATCCACTGAGAAAAAAAAGATCGTCGATACGCGACAATTATAACGAGGAAAATGTTTGTGGCAAAGTGGTTGTGGTTACGTGTACGCTGAGAGAAACGAAATATTTATTCGGTGCGGGTACTAATAACATATCTACTACAAAAATATTTTTTTACTAAAAAATACACATTCTCTGAAAATCTCAATTTTTTAAATTTGAAATTGTTTATTCTATTTGAACAAAGGTTCAAATTTATTTAATTCACTTAAGGTTTACTCTTCAAGTTCATTTTATTTAAATAAAAATTTGGACTCAAGTTATTAGTATCCACCGAAGAAAGGCATTTTTCATTTCTTAGATATTTTTTCTGTCAGTGTAACGTTAAGGAAAATAATGGTTGGGCGTATATTATTACTACATGTTCGAATGATAAAAGAATACATGTCGGCACCAACAATGACTATAATTTAAAAGCGAGATTAATTATTTTTTTCTCTTGTCTCGATATATGAGCACTCAGCCTATGAGAAGGCCGTTTGCTTCGCGGCGGTCATTCAAGGGTTAATTATGCTCAACCTATTAGCGCACGAATAACGATAGATCTTAAGCCCCGTAATAGCGAAAAATCTCGCGAATATGCGCGCGTACGTTTATACGGCCGACTGGGGGGAAAAATAATCGAATGCCACACAGGAATGCCGTAAAATATTAAGTAATAATCCGCGAAGAATGCCGGGACCCGCCTGAGTACCGACCCATGGCGATAAAGTATCGCCCAAGCCGCGTCGCCCAAGATCGTTATTAAAGCGGCTACGGTAAACAGTCGTACGTAGGTAACGGCATTTGTCAACGCACAGGATTGACCGAGGGTGTGTGTGTATATACGTATGAGAGAAAGAGAGAGAGTTTATTGAGATTCCGGGATTAACCCTTTCGCTACCAACGAGGTATATGTTTTCACCATTATTAATAACCTTATTTTAATTGAATAAGCAACTTTTTTAGCATGCAGAACACACCAGCTATCGCTCTACTTATTACATATGTTGGAATAAATATGTCTTCCCAAAAACCCCACATTAGTCTCTCGGCGCTGTCTCTGACGGCAAACATAAAACTTTTAATTTTTCTGCTAAAACTACATTTTATGTTAATGTGTTTAATGAACTGAAAGTAAAAAAAGTGTACCTTTAAAAAACAAAATTGGCGTGAAAGAATAAAAAAATTTCTTTTTGCAGTAAATCAAGTAAAGTGGGGGTGACGTATAGAATAAAATTAGAAATTATGAGAATATATAGGAAATATAATAAATAATCTGTAATACGTGGAAAAGATAAGAAAAAGATAAGGAAAGATCAAATAGATAGATATAAGAAGAGAGAGAAAGAGAGGAGGGAGGCTTAACTCGACGCGACGCGGCGCGTCGCGCATGAATTAACAAGGTCCACTTAATTAAGGATCACAGCATCGCGCATTAGTGGCTGTTACGCACCGCTTCGTCGCTCAGGCCTTGGGGTCTTTTTGAGGCTCGCCTCGAGGTAGCTTCTAATTATTCACTTTCTCTCCGGCGCGCGAGCTCTCGCGGCGCGGCACAACGACCGGGATTTACGGGCTCGCGTCGCGGTCCATGTAATCGCACGATGATACCTTCGACCGCGGCTGGAACGACAATAATTCGTTAATCGGTCATAATGCCGAGGGCGGCGGCGCAATCGAGACGACCTGAAACGAGTCGTTATTTTGCCGAGCTATTTCCTGCTTCTGCGAGTGGCACGCGGCGCTTGTGAGAACGGTAATGGAAGGCTATTCGTTAATGTTAATAAGGTCGACTCCCGAGGGTCAGCAGTGGCATGACGATCAAAAAGATTTTTCTGAGAACGTCAATAACGAGGAAGTTAGAGATGTTTTTATAGATGTTATTGCGCTCAGATGTGTCATTATATTTTCAGATATTGTACATGCGCGCGGAGAAAGAATATTATAATTTTCTTTAGAAATCATTTATAGACTCCTCTCCTCTTTATTCCTATTTTTCTAGAAATTTGGAAAAATAGAATACTTTCCGTGGAAATTTTGTTTTCTATCTTTTTTTTTACTTTCATTTCATTAAATATACTAACATAAAATTTAGTTTTAGCCAAAAAATTAAAATTTTTATGTTTGACATCAAAGAGATAGGATCAGAAGACACTGATGTCCCACTAAAATTTTTGCAAGTCCCAACACGCAGTAAATAGAAAGAAATGGAAATAGTGTATTTTCTGATTTGTACTCTGCTATGAATTGAAAAAAAAAGCTATTAAATATTTTATCGTGAAACCTTTCCGGGCATATCATTTGAGAAGTTAATATGATTAATATATAATTGTATCACAGTTGTAAATATATAATTACTATAAGTTATATAATTTGTACAATTCGTACTGACAGTCCCCTGAAAGGAGGCTACGAAAGAAGCTGCGTTTCCATCGAACGGCCAGAGCACGACGTAATTCCGTGAAAGCGCTCTAATTCGCGATGGAAAAATCGCGGCAAAAATCGAACGCTCGGCCTGTCATAGAACATCACCGATGAGATTATCGCGAGCGAGACCGGTAAATATCGAGGCCAAAGACGGTCACCGCAAGAGAAAGAGAGAGAGACAAAGAAAGAAGAAAAGTAGAGAGAGAGAGAGAAAGAGCGCTTTCTATTCGCGCGACCAACGCAAGCGGTAGCACGAGTGCGCTTCCGCTCGATACATGTCGATAATTGCCAATCGCTGAAATCTCAGAGCTGTAATCAGAAGCCGTGATTCGCACGGCTCCCGAAGACACGCTCGTCAAGCGGGCGGACAAGAAACCGACGTCTCTCGCCGCTTTCCCGAACGAGTTTCAATTCGCGAATATATAATATACGCGTCCGGGTGTCCACTAATTACGGACGATATTCCGCACGAACGATATCATGACACGGAACTCGCGCGTGTAGGCAAGGGGCCGTATTCGTGACACGCATTCGTGAACGCTAAGTACGGCCTTCTGACTCTCAAAATAAACAAACTTATACGGGACGCGAGAAAAACGGGAATTGGAATAAAAAGGCGTGCGTTCAAATTCACATCATCAGGAATACGATCTCAGTCGTAAACTCGGTCTCCCGATCGAAGATTGTCTGATCGTTGCATCTTCGATGGTGACGACTTAATAACATTTCGCCCGACATCTTCGCTTGATATTCGCCCGTAACTCATTCTTTCTGCTTAATTAGCGAGCGGTCCAGTTATTTTAGTCCCACACATGTTCTTGTAGCAAAATGGTAATAGAAACATGCATACAAAGTTGTCATTGCAAATATTATAGTAAGTTTAAAATTTAATTAAAAAAAAAATGATTTTCCCCTAACCGTAATTTATAGTAATTATTCCTTTGCGTGATTATAGTTAAAGTTACAAATAGCAAACATTTGTTTCTCAATGCGCTACATTCCGCAACGCGCAAGTGTATCCGCCGTGTAACGTAACATACGACGTGACATATTGTCATTATCGTCTTAACCGGATCCCCGGTTACCTCATGCGACAATCGCGTTTTCCGTTAACGGCCACCTGCACCGCTTCCCAGGCGCGGGCTGACGCGCGTCAATCAGATCGCATGTGTCGCGGAACGGGGAGGTTCGGCGGAGAAAATGCAACGGTAAACCGAGGGAAACTAACGTTTACCGTAACTACCACTGAAGGACCATAAATCATACCGCCGACAACTTCTTCGCGGGCTTGCCGTATTCGCAGGGTTTCTCGACGGATCGCCGCGATCTATCGACCGACCGACCGAGCGACCGCGAGTGCAACAACGCGATCCGAAAGGTCCCGCAAGTCCGCGGAAAATCCGATTCTCCACAGCGCGCACGCAGAGGTCGACGCCGCGATCAGGAACAGAAGAAAGAAACGCGTATTCGTACCGAGAGCGTTAACGACCGTATATTTCACATCGGAGAAAGTTTAGAAAGGAACAACTACGCGCCGCGTCATAAATGTTAAATAAAGCCGGGCCTCTCGGCCAAACAGACGCACGGACATCACGTGTTCTTCGCGGAGTCACGTTTCGTGGAGGCGCGAGTCGCGAAATGTCGTGGAAAAACGTATCGCGAGAATACGGCCGATGAGACGCTCTAATCCCCTTACCCTCGCTTTCTCGATAATGAGGAAATTGCACGAGCGTGCGCAACGATCCATTGGTCGATCGCGGATCGAGAACGCCGGCCGAGAACGCGTCGCGTAGCCGTGAGCGTCGAAACGGAAGTGATCGATGAATCGGGGTGTCGGGCGCGCCCGCGTACTTCCGATCGGTGTGCCAGGATCTACGCTACGAGAAATCCCGTCAGAACCAGTTTGCTGCTTGATGATCGTTGGGGAAACAGATCGATAACTTCTCATCATTGCTCTGTTCCTTTTAGCTATGCTGCTGAACTAGTGCAATAAGTTGGAGTGAGACAAAATATAGTTGTCTCACTTATTACACCAATTCGGCAATGCTGCTGAAAAGAACAGATCACATTTGTCATCTTGACAAACCAAAGGTCTATTCTTCCTAGCTGAACTGTCTAAACTGATGCATACTGATGCATCAGTTAGGATGAGACAAATATATTTTGTTTCACTCTAATGGTACCAGCATGCACCAGTTCAAGCAGTTCAGTTAAAAGGGACAGACTTATACACTGTCAGAGATACAAGTCATATTAGTTCTCGTCTATTTAAGTTAGATTAGGCTAGATTAATTATGTCTCCATTATGGAAGTGTAATGTCAATTTGTTGCTTAGAGCAGCGAAGATAAGCAATCGATCGATAACGCGGAAAGATATTCAGGCCGTATCGGCCGAGTAATAAAAGTTAGACTCACTTTTGTCCGGTTTAGCGGGTTTGAGAAGTCCCATCCGGGCGCGACGAAGAGGTATCCGCACTTGGAGATCTTCCTCGTAGCCTGAAACAGAAAGAGAGATTTACTTTAAATGGTTGTGCTTAATTTTGTTATTTTATGTGATATAAATATAAGTGCCACGTGAACCATTCGTATGGGACGCTATTTTTGTAAATCAACTAGTAAAGTTGCTGCCACGCACACCTGTCTACCTGGGTTACTTTCGTTTTGCACGATTATTCGCAATGGACTTTTCCCTCGCGGACGCGAGAACGTAAAGTGGTTTCGATCACGAACGGCTCGAAAGACGTTACGGTGAATTACGGCTTGAGAGAGAAAGAGAGAGAGAGTCTCGATCAATTTTAAATGAACATCGCATCCAGAGGATCTCCACTCGAGGCGCGCGCGATTACCGGGACATATTTAACATTTAAAATTAGAAAGCTGCGAGAATAAATAATGAAATTTCTCCGGAGGAAAAATTCATTTCAACAGTCGGCATCACTAAATAAAACCATTTGTGTGAGAATGCGGAGGAGAGAAGGTGGAGATACACTTTATACCATAATCCGTCGAAGTAGAACTAATCCTAGAGCGAAGAGGGAGCGACAAGCGTTATGAGATAACAGACAGGTTATTATGACACGAACTCGATTTCACGAGGCAAAGCGGTACCGATCTGTCGGCGACGTAGAGGTCCGCCTTTTTCGTGGCGAGTAACGTGGGTCGAACAACGAGAATAAGAAGCAGTTTCGGCACGCACGTATCGCGTCTACAAAATAAACCTCCCGTCGGGTGGACCAGGAGCTAATCAAACTTTCGAGTTTTGATGCGCCTACCCGGCGGACCCTTCACGAAAGGTCTCTTATTACGTTCCCTAAGTAGAGAGAGAGAGAAGAGGATCCCGAGCGGAGGGAGGGAGGGGAGAACTTGAGGTGAAGAAAAGTGAGAGGAAAAAGCGGCGATATACACGCGTCGGAGAAGAATGGAAACGAGACGAGACGAGGGAGAGAAAGAGGGAGATAGAAACGGGAAGAAGGAGAGGAGAGACGGAGGGAGGGCGGCGGCCATTCACGTGGAAACGAGAGTCACGTGTGAGTGGGAAGCTATCTGCGGGGAATCTCAGAGCATCAGGCATTTATCAAGTGTATCGAGCATTCCTCGGTCACCAAACAGACGCCGCGCTTCCTTTCCTTTGACGCCTATCCGCGTTCCACCTATTTCCCTTTCCTTCTGTTTCCTTTTTTTATTTTTTTCCTTCTATATCCGCCGGCGTGCACCGCCGGTATTACGGGAGGAGTGACCCGTAATAGCGCGCCGCTAAATCTCCCGTGCATTTCTCGAGTGCTTCCTACCTAATTCAGCCGATGCGACGCATCGACGGTTTCATTAAGGGAGATTTATTTAAATAGGGGCTCCCTTTCTCTCTGAATGCTTTGGAAGTTCGATCCCATGGTCGCAGCTATCGTGCTTGATATCGTGGGTCGATTTCGATGCGATCGTCGCGAAAGCGACACGGAAGCCAAAACGAAATATACACTAAGAAAAAATATAATATATTTCTGAAATAAATAAATATATATATATATATATTTGTATAAGTAAATATATTTTTTTATTTTAGAATATATAAAAAATATATAGAATATTATAAAAATACTTGAAAATATTATATATATATATATATATATATATATATATATATATATATATATATATAAATGCTTGAGATCCAAAATACACCCTAGAGACGTTCTAGAGATACATATGTGATATCTAAGGGTCTGTTTTTTATTGCTGAATTAGTGTATACTTTCGGAACTTAAAAAGAGACAGATATACAGATAAAATTTGGTGAAAGAAAGATAAGAGAGAACTAGTGCAGCCAGTTCAGCAATAGAAAATAGACTCTAGGTCGTCTCTACGATGCATTTAAGACATTTGTGTTCTATGGGTAGGATTTCGCTGAAAGATATTTTCCAAAATAGCGTGTCTTTCTTATCGCTCGGAACGCATACCAAGATACAAGCCAAAGTCTTTACGCCCCAAAGAATTATCATCCGTTGCATATTTGCAATGGAGACCCATGTCCGACGTTATTTCGTATCCGATAAGGTCTAATTATGCAAGATTACGCGGCTGTTACGTGGGGTAATATAACAACTGCTTATGGAAATCCGCGTGTTCGTCCGAGACCGACGTTTATCCGCGGCAATCAGTGCGCGATAATTTGGCACTCGCGTTATGCCTGTCGTCGTCGCAGATAATGCCGCGAAGATAACGACCGTTGCGAGGGAGCGGCCTGGCCGAACTTGGCAAAAAGCCTGCTCTCTCGCAAAGAAGTAATACATCGTTTCCTCCGTTCCCTGGCCTGAAGGGGCGAGAGAACGTGCGATCTCCCAATGCGTGGCAACCTCAAAACGAGGCTGTCGTCTTTCTCTCTCTTTTCTGGCTGCTGCGCAAGAACGAGAATTCACTCGGTTTTATGGATACATAAAGGCAGGCTGCTCTCTCTCGAGCGACAGAGAGAGAGAGAGAGAGAGAGAGAGAGAGAGGCGTGCGAAGTAGCGTTCCGCGCCTCTTTCCTTCGGGAAAATTATGATGCTTTCTTGTACGGAATAAACGAAAGAACGTCGAGCCTTCTCCCGACAAAAATATTCGACGTCTAAACACATGACGGAGCGAGTGAGTCAGTAAGCGAATCCGGATTTCATTCCAAGATAGACTTTCGTGATTATCACGACGTGAGATAATTGATGATGGGAACTACAATTTGTTTCGTTACTTACGAGAGAGAGAGACAAATGTGCTGTATTAAATTAAACTCTGAATTTATGTCGTACAATTCGGAAGAAATACAAGAAAAAATGATCAGAATTTGCTCCAAGCGATATAAGTCTAAATGTGTAAATTTTCGTAAATCCGTTGCTGCACCAATAATATTGAGATCGACTTTTTTTCTCATTACATTTATAAGGCAAATTTACTATATTGAATTAATCGGCATGTTGAATTATACGACGATTGACCAATTCCGATAGTTGATTTGCCGATCGGCTTGGTCAAGGAGAACTTCGAATCGACTGATGTCGAATGCGCAGCACGAGAGAAACGCGTCGCGTGGTGGAAGGGAAATAATTCACCAGGCCAACTGTCGACGGCCCGCGAAAATTCTGCGGTTGCAACTAGCTCGTGTTCCAGTCGCAGATATATGATTCTCGCGTCGAGTCCCTCATACCGAACAAAACTTAGAAAGTCGTGAAAGCAATAAGACCCGTGACTTCTCGATCCGCCGGATTCTCCCGCTGCGGAGGACGTCGCAGCGCGCGCGTGTATAAAAACGGAGACACTTTCCACACTATTTCATACACAAGAATGTCAAACGCCGGATTCACGGTCCAGTTATCCCGCCGGCTGTGATCGCAGCTACTCGGTCGCTGAGGAAAACGCGACGCTGAAAAGCGCAAGGCTAATCGAAAGTCGTCCCGATCTTCATACAGACGACGTCGATCTCGACATTTGCGCTCCCGCGAGCAGCAGTCTCTCGCGAATGAAATTCCATTTTTTGCTGGCTGAACAAGCCTCTCTCTCCCTCTCTCTTTCTCTCTATCTCTCGATGAGCGTGACTGCGCTCTGTTTAACCGCTTTCCGTCCGGGTTTGCACGATTTCCGGCCGGGTCCGTCGCGCGTTCAATTAACTTCCGGCGTGTTGATTGTCACGTAGCCCGGCAGCAGCGCGAACCCACCGGACCATAAATCGCGCTGCCATTACGGCATATCGCCGCTTACTAAAACGCATCAGCGAGTATCATCGCGAAACAATGCTCCGTCGCGTTGCGTAGTCCGACAATTGGCTCTACGTCACTTCGCGATGTATTGCCGCGGCGTTCGGGGAAACTTCTCACAGACATCGTTGGGAAAAAAATTCGCGCAACACGCCTCCGCTATTTTCAGCTGCGATGGAATTATCGAGATACCAACAATTCGAGACGCTGGATCGCACTCACAAAGGATGGAAGTGTTCTTCATATACAACTTTTATTCTTTTTCTCCTCTCTCTCTTTGGGGTTTCTCCAATAAAGTCATTGCCTAGGCAGGTATGTGTAAATTTGGCAGCAATTTTGCTAATCGACTTGCAAAACTTGCATTTATTGTCAGTGGCTCATATGACATTCGTCATATAGAATGACGAAATAGAGATATGAGAAATATTATAAAAATTTGCACAAGACAATATATTTCGTGCAAAATGTAATATAAAAATCTGAATATAACTTTTCGTAAATTTGTATCAATACAATTAAAAATTCATCGATATACTCTCTAAAGTACAATCAATGTATCCTTCACTGAAATGCTATGCTTACAACTGTTGGTTCAGTTACAAGTCTAGCATGGCAATCAGTAAAATCTCGCTGAGAGAATCAATTAACAGCACCTACTGTTTCTATTATTGATGCAATTTGCAAATACAGACAATGTCAATGTCAATGTAAATCACATGGAAGCTGTTAATGTTGGTGTTAATGGTAAAATAATCTTTTTCACTGATCACGCTAAGAGAGTAACTAAAAAATTTACATTATTGCATAACATGCATAACATGCATTTAATGATTTGTTTCGTAAATGTAATTAATAAAACATGAAATGAAACGATTGAAAAAGTCCTCATTGCACCATCGATTGTCTTGTGATCGTGAAAGTTAATCTGGGCGAAATAATTCGCCGATTCAAGACACATTGGAGTATGCTCAAAGAGTTGGAGGTATTGTTCGAATAGAATTCTTGTCTCTTTCGTCTCGCTCTCTTTGATTTCAAATAAGGTTACCGAGATAATTCGACAATTTAATTCGTTAGACTACTCTCTCAAAGAATACAAGTGTTCTCCGGGTAGAATCCCTTTTCTTCCTTCCCTCTCGTTCCCTTTGGGTTTTCAAAGAAAACACCGAGATAATCCGACAATTCAAGGCGGTTCAATTGAACTGAAATAAGAATGAAGAAACGCTCCTGGGAATTCCATTCGGAGCTGTCGATCCCATTCATCCCATCGACCGCTAACGT